TCACAGAGAAGCAGGAAGGAGCCTTGCACTAGAGCTGTTCTGTACCTTGACTGTGGTGGTAATCTTGAAAACGTACAGATATGCTTAAACTGCATAAAACTAAGTACACATTTAGCAAAAGTAAAAAGAGTACATGTAAAACTGGTAAAACCTGAATAAGAATTATGGATTGTATCAGTGTCAGTCTCCTGGTCATGATATTGTACTGTAGTTTATACAAGATGTTACCACTGAGGGCAGACGGATGAAGAACGTAAGGGAGCCCCACATTATTAACAGCAACTGCCCAGAAATGTACAATTATCTCCAAAAACACTTGTTTTTTTTAAAGTGTTGGGACATGCAAAGCCAAAGGCAGTACAGAAGAAAACTACAGGCCAATATTCCTGATGAACACAGATGCAAAATCCTCAACAAAATACAAACAAACCGAACTCAACAGCACATTAACACGTACACCATGACCAAGTGGGTTTTATCCCTCGGATGCAAGGATGGTTCAACTTACAGAAATCAGTTAGTGTTATAGACCACACTAAAAAAATGGAGAATGAGAAAAATCACCTGATCATGTCAATACATGCAGAAAAACATTTGACAAAATTCAACATGCTTTCATGGTAAAAATTCCCAACAAATTAGATTTAGAAGGACTTCACTGCAACATCATAAATGATACCTATGAAAAGCCCACAACTAGCATTACACTCAATGGTAAAAACTAAAAGTTTTTTCTCTAAGATCAAGAAAAAGGCAAGGTTGCCCACTCTTGCCACTTCTGTTCAGCATAGTATTGGATGTGTTAGTCAGAGCGATTAGGCAAGAAAAAGGTGTAAGAGGCATTTAAATGAGAAAGGAAGTAAAGTTATCACTGTTTGCAGAAGACATGAGCTTATGTTAAGAAAACCCTAAAGACTCCAACAAAAATTGTTAGAATATCTGAATTCAGTAAAGTGGCAGAATACAAAATAAACATACAAAAAATAAACTATAAAAAATTAAGAAAACAATCCCATTTATAATAGCCTCAAAAAAGAATACCTAAATATAAACTTAACCAAAGTGGTGAAAAACTTGTGCAATTAGAACTACAAATCACTGATAAAAAAAATAAGACACAAATAAATAGAAAGACTTCCCATGTTCATGGATCAGAAGACTTACTACTGCTTAAATGTCCATACTATCCAAAGTCATGGGTACATTCAAAGTAATGCACATCAATATCTCAATGGCATGTGTTACAGAAATAGAAAAAAAAATCACAAAATTCATATGGAACCACAAAAGACCCTGACTATACAAAGTAATTTTGAGAAAGAAGAGCAAAGCTGGAGGCATCATACTTCGTGATTTCAAACTATATTTCAAAGCTGCAGAAATTCAAACAGTATGGTACAGGCATAAAAACAAGTACATAGACCAAAGGCAAAGAATAGAGAGGCCAAAAATTAACCTATGCATATATGGTCAAATGATCTTTGATAAAAAGGGCCAAGAATACACAATAGGGAAAGGATAGTCTCTTCAAGAAATGCTGCTGGGAAAGTCGACAGCTACATGCAAAAAAATGAAAATTGATTCCTTATGTTTCACCATATACAAAAATCAATTTAAAATGTATTAAAATGTTTAAAAGTTAAGACCTGAAATTGTAAAACTCCTAGAAGAAAAAACAGAGGAAACATTTCATGGTATTAGACTTAGAAATGATTTCTTAGATCTGACACCAAAAGCACAAGCAGCCAAAACAAAATTAGACAAGTTAGGACTATATCAAACTAAAAAGCCTCTGTATAGGAAAGGCAGCAATCAAGAGAGTGAAAAGATAACCTATGGAACAAGAGAAACTATCTGCAAACCAATTATCTGATTATGTTGTTAATATCCAAACTATCTAAGAAACACCTACAACTCAAGATAAAAGAAAAAAAAAACCTGATTAAAAAAATGGGCCAAAGACTTGAATAGACATTTCTCCCAAGAAGATATAGGGGCCAACAGGTGTATGAAAAGATGCTTAGTATCACTAATTATCAGGGAAATGAAAATTAAAACCACACTAAGTTGTCACTTCACACCTGTTAGGATGGCTTTTATGAAAAAAAAAAAGTGCTGGCAAGGGTGTGGAGAAATTGGAATCCTTGTACACACTATTGGTGGGAATGTAAAAGAGTGTCATCCTGATGGAAAAGAGTATAGAGATTCCTCAAAAAACTAAAAATTACAATTACCTGTGATCTAGCCAATCCTACTTCTGGGCAGATATCCAAAAGAACTGAAATCAGGATCACAAAGAGATATATAAACACTACCATGTTCACGGCAGCACTATTCACAGTAATGAAGATGTGGACACAACCTAAATACCCTTCATCAGGTGAATGGGTAAAGAAACATATATATAATGGAATATTATTCAGCCTTAAAAAAAGAAGGAAATCCTGTCATTCACAGCAACACGGATGGACCTGGAGGATATGATGCTATGGGAAATAAGCCAGGCACAGAAGGACCAATACAGCATGATTGTACTTATATGAAGCACCTAAAATAGTTAAACTCATAGAAAAAAAACAGCAGAATGATGGTTGCCAAGGGCAGGGGGAAACGGGGCCACGGAGAGTTGCTGTTACACAGGTATACAGTTTCACTTACATAAGAGGAAAAATGCTGAAGACCTGCTGTACAACACTGTGCCAATAGTTAATAGTATTTTATTGCATACTTAAAAAGTTTTTTAAGACAGTAAATCTCATAAGTGTTCCTACTACAATAAAAATAAAAACTTGGAATTCACAAAGACATTTATACAAAGAAGCCTAATTTAAGACATAATTAAGACAGTTTGCATATATTTAAAAGCCACTTTAACAGTATTTTCACCCACTATCTAAAATAAAAATTATGAAGACATAATGTATGGTTCACAATGAATACTTAATAAATGTAATTTTTCCATTCTTTCATGTAACAATCCTCAGAGTCATATGGGTCTGGCATACTAATGTGGTCCCTTATGCCTGTCCAGGTTTCTGCTTTTGCACAAAATGTACTTTCACCACAGGTGACTGTGTAGAGACAAGTGAAAGCCTCCAGGTCTTATTGAAACAAATGCCCGTGAGCAGATAAACATTGGTTAATTTTCTCTTTCTAAAGAAGTACAGCTTTCTGTCTTTCTATTAAATGATCTGTCTTACCAATTAGTGACATATTGCTTCCTAGATCTGCCACATAATCTTCTTTAAAAAAAAGTGTATTTTACATAGTAAGATACAATATATAAAGAGCAATGCATCTTAGACCCAACCTGCATTTATAATCACTTTAGTATCAAAAGCAGAGTTGCCCCCTGCCTGGCCAACTCTCCTCCTTTGCCCCTTTCTGCCAACCCCCTGCTAATTTTCCTCTTCATCAATGGCCTTGCTTGACTCATTGTCTACTCCCTTCCTCTGCTTCTTTCTTCTGTCCCAGCCATTTGCAGCATGAATAAAAAAAACATCTTAGAAAGTCAAGAAGCGAAAATGCTCTTCTTCCCCACCGTCTACCAAGTGAGCACAGGCACTTACTTGATCCTGACCTCTAAAAATAGAAACTGCTCAGACCAGGGACCTAAATGGTCTCCATGGCTGTAATAAGTCCAGCACATCTCACGCTGTGAACTTCCACACCTGAAATTATCCATCAACCCTCAGTGTAACATATGAAAACACAAGTCAATCTGGAAGATAAACATTTATATTTGTGCTATCTAAAAAGACTTAAATATTTGGAAAACTGAAAGTACTAATTAACTCAGTGGCTGAGGTAATCTTTCAGCCGGAAACCAAAACCACTTTCCACGAGGACAAACGTTCATAAAATATTGAGTCAAATATGCAATTTCCTCACCCTCCTTAAAGCATTGAACGTTCAATAGAAGAATTAAGTCAAAAGTCAAGGAATTGTTACCAATTGATCTTTTCTTTTTTCATCAGAGTCACCTGTCAAGAAACCGTGACCTTCAGCCTTGGGGCAGACTTTTCAAGTTGTCTACCCTGCCTCCAGTGTTCTTGGCCATAAAGACGGGCTCATATTACACCCATTGGGAAAAGGCTTAAAAACTCTGATACTGAACTAATATTATTTCAATAGCTTTTGACCTGCACGTTATACGCTTAAATGTTGAGCCAAATTACAAGGGGTGGAGTCTGTGATGTACGAGATTGCTCTGCCCTGGAATCAGCCCGTCTGCCCTTCCACCTAAGGCTTGCCCTCTTCTTAGAAAATTCAAGAAAAGATTTCACCGTCAAAAACCTGGCGTTCTCTCGGTTCCCTTTCCACTTTATTCACACCAGATATGCTGAATCATGACTCTGAGGTAGTAAAAGAAAAACTATTTCGACTGGGACACCAGGATTCCCAGAGGATAGCACGCTTCTCATTCCTTCACTTTGCACCTTTTAAAGTCTAAACCTGGTGCCCTTCCGGCAGATAGGAGGGACTCCGCGGGCTCCAAAAGCTGTAGGTGGGGGAGATCCTCGCTCCCTCCGCGGCTCCTCCCCAAACCCCGGCTCCTCTCCTGGGCCGCGACCCCTCATTGCCTGTACACTCCCCACCTGCACAGCTGCCCAAGCGCCTCCGAGAATTCCCAACTTGGAAGCGTCACCAGCACAAGCACAAGTGCTGTCCGCAGCTCCCTGGGCGCGCACTGGGCTCACTTGGCCGCCGTCGGCAGAGCGGGGGGCGCAGCAGCTCCACCACCCACTGCCCCTGGCCCGGAGCCCAGCCCGCCGAGCGCGCAGACCCCGGAGAAACTCGATCCCGACTGCCCGGCTCGTGCCGCCCGAAACGCCCCGGGAGCCCCGAGCAGCTGGGCCGAGGACCCGGGAGCAGAGGCGCGGAGGGCGGCGTGGAGGGGAAGGGGCGGTAAGAAGAGATCAGCCCCCCAAACCAGTTCCGCAACTTCGCCCAGCCCAGGAGAACCCACAGCGGCTGCGACCGCGAGGCGACGGACTCACTTGAAGGTGAGGACGCAGAGCGGCCGGTAGGACTTGTGGCTGGTGTTCTCGGCCATGCCCTTGCCCCAGAAGTCGTTGCTGAAGATGCCCCAGCGCAGCGGGGCGCCGGGCCGCACGTCGGGGTTGTGCACGATCGCCCACACGTCGTCGTGCACGAACTCGCCCTGCAGGGAGCGGCCGTAGCACAGGCAGCTCGCCCCGGCCAGCAGCGCCGCGGCCCCGGCCGGCGCGAGTCCGCAGCCCCGCCGCCCGGAGGGCGCGCGCTCCCCGCCGCCGCCGCGGGCAGGGCTTGTCACCGCCATCGCGCCGCCGCCGCCGCCCTGGCCTCTCCCGGGCGCCTGGCATCGTCCCCGGCCGGGACCCCGGCGGCGGGCTCGGGCATGGTGCGCCGGCCGCTGGCCCCGCCGCGGGCACCCCGCGCTCCGCCCGCGCCGCCGAGTCGGCCCGGCCGCGAATAAGCAGTGGCTCCCGCGCCTCCCCCGGCATCGCCGGCCCCCCGCCCACTGCGCATGCCCGCTCGCGCGCACCGCCCCCCCGCAGCCCCGCCGGCGCCCGCGCCCCCGGCCCGCGAGCCAAGCGCAGGTGGGGCGGGGCCGCCTGGTGCTCCCGGCGCGCTCGCTGTCCCGGGCAGGGCAGGGGGCCTGAGGCAGGGGCACCCCCGGGCCGCCAGGACGCGCCGGGCAGGTGCGCGCCCCCTGCCGCCCGGAGAGTGACCGCAGCTTCCGGGGGTGCCCAGCGCGTCAGCCCTGGACCGCAGCGCAGCCCGGGACCCGCTCCGCCCGGAGCCGCGCCCGCCCGCCGCCCCCCACCCCCCGCAGCCTCCGTCCCGGGCCGCGTCCCCACCCGCCCTGAGCGCCGCGGGCGCGGCCTCGGGGTGGAGGCGGCGGCGGCGGCGGGAGACTCGGCTCCCGGGGCGCCCTTCCCGGGTTCCCAGGAGGGTCAGCGGCTCGGGGCGCCCTGCCCGCTGGCCGGAGGCGCCCCGGCTCTTCCCCGCCGCCCGCCGCCGTGCCGCCTTTGGAACAGGCCCGGGGTCGGGCTTTGCTCCGGTCTGGGCGCCGAGTTAGCGTCGGAAATATTTCTCCTCGTTTTCTTTTTTTACTGAACTCTAAAGACAATCCGGGAGATGCCAAGCAAATTACTTTTCGTCCCTCCCAAGTGGATCATTTGAGTCCGATTTTTATTTCCTGGGCTGTGAGCTGTTTCTTTGAACTGTTCTTGCTAAGTCAGATCACTTAAAAAAAAAAAAAAAGAAATATTAATAACAAAAAAAAAAACTGTTCAGTCCTCTGGGCTTGGGTTCCCAATCATCCTGTTTTTTCTGAAAGGCTTTCTTTTAAAAAAAATACTCGATGTAATATGTAAATAAATTAGATATCCCGGAGTGATAATTACTACAATTTCCCCAGGTTTTATAAATCTGTTAACTCTGAGGCCTCTTGTAAATTCCCATTGAAGTTACCTGAAATTTGACACAGCCAGATAGAAAAATTTAAAACACAAAATTCACCCTTTTGTTCCCATTCTTTCAAAATCCTTAAAAGGTTCATCGATCTACAGGCAAAAACTGTTTTTATACTAAGTGAGCATTTGTGGACTCTTTACTATCCGAACTTATTTTTTAATTTAAGATATAGCTGAGCAGTTGAAAACTCAGTGAATTAAGACAAACATTCTAAATCAGCATGCATTTCATTCATCTCACTTTGTTTTTTGGTGACTTGAAAATTAATGAGAAATGAAATTGAAAACCCAGAGAGCATTGATGTTTTCATCAAAACTGTTAGATGCTTCCTTGCTTTATTATCCAGACCCCACACACACCTGAGTCTACCATCTCCCCACAGGACACTCCAACCTTTCCTCTTTGCCTGCCCATCAATTGAATAAAAATACATTAGGATATACTTTGTGCTGCAATGTGCTGGGCATAGGGTTAGATGATGAAAGTTGCTCAAATTTATGTATGTGTAAGGTTAACACCATAAAAGTAACTTTCTAAGTCAAAGCATTACAATAGTAAAAAAAAAAGCTGTCCTTTTTGAAATGATAATAACAGGACAATGTATCAATAATCCTTACCTATAAATTAATAGAGGCTTCTTTGAGACAATGTCTCAATCCCAAAGCGAGAGTCTAAAAATAAATTTTGATAGAGAGCAGAAGCACAGTCCTTTCCACTCCTTATCTGAGTTTTCTTTTTTTGATGAAAATAGTTGAGTTCTCTATGACAATGGAGAGAAGTGAAGAAGGATCAGAGCCACACTCCAAAAAGACAATAATAGAAGGGGATAGAGATAAATAAACCTGTAAGTGGGATTCCAGATTTCTGAGCACAGAGTGTGCATCATTAAGCTTTCCTCTAGGTTCCGTGGTATCTCTATTCTATTTAGTTCACATAATGAATTTGGGATTAAATTACTATACTATAGTGAGAGACCTTAAATTCTCTGAAGGGCAAACCAGTAAGTACTTTCTTTAACTGAACAGTTCCTTTGCAGCCCCATCATTTCCTGATTCAGTATTGTTCGGTGGTACCAGAAAACCCATTGAAAGTGTTGATGTCAGAGAAGGTTTACACAAATAAGACAACCCATCAAGCCTTTTGCGTCTCAAGGTGTAAAGCACTCATCTTGGCTAATACAGGGGCCCAAAGGGAAAACAGATTTCATTCTTGTTACTTGGTCTCTGATTGTTTTTAAAGGATTTATAATTAGAGCAGTACTACCTTCTAAGATACCCTTTGTCCATTCAGAGCAATTTAAAACATAAGTTAGTATAGAAGTCCCTCTCTGAGATGCATATGGATTAAGTCACTCATGCAAATTAAAATGGACCCTAGTTCTGAAAGGAATTGGGACACAACTAAAAATAAATCAAGGGCAAGTAGGTGTTTTAATAAAACAAATTTCAAATGACTGCCCACTGCTCTTTTTCAGCTAGTGTACCCTGTTCAGGTATGCCCTATATATATATAAGGGTCAAAGGCAGGAATTCAGGAAAAGAACTGATAGTTTACATTAAAAAATAAATTTTTGTTGCCTAGTTATTTAACTATTACCTGTTCTTGAAGAAAAATAGAAAAAAGAACAGAAAATCAAAATATACCTACCACACCACCCCATAAGCCTATGGTAGGACAGACAGCATGCACTCTTAAGAAGCTGGCCTAGCATCCTGCAGGCAAACATGGGACAGTCTGGAGTGCCACATGGTCAAGGGAAAGCCGGGCCCAAACCTGAGCCTACAGTGGTGGCACCAATGGTGGTGAGAGGCGGCCCCCAGGAGAGAGGACAGGCTCCTCACTGAGATACGCTGACTTGCCATTTGATCCCCAAAATCCATCTCTGTGGCATCTGCACAGGATTAAAACTAAAGAACGTCAAAAAAGTACCTGTGATCTTGCAGTTTCTGGCTCTCAGGCAATAAACTTTGTCAGCAAATTACTACAAGATAAAAGCAGACCACGTGTAAATTGTAAGAAAGCATATGAAGTACAAGAAGTCTTCAAAGAGCTTAGAATCTCTGCACAACACGGCACAGCAAATATCCACACTCAGAAATAAGAGTTAGATTCTAAGATTATTGTGTACAACGAAAAAACAGTGTTCTCATATGAGTTAAACTTTAATTGCATACTTTTTTATTCTACATTTTAATTACATACAAATCAAAAAGCCACTTTTAGTTCCTTGACAACCTCCACAATTTACAAGAAATGTCATGTAAAACACTAAAATGCCATGTATAAATTTACATTTAAAGTTAAATTCAGACTTACAACAAATTGATTTGTATGAAGTTAAATTTTTTTAGAAAAATTATTCCATCAGAATCATCACCTCTAGATGCTCTATGATTTATAGTTTGAAATTTATCAGAAGTTCAGCCCATGGTTTTCACAGCCTAAAAATAGTCTTAACAGCTCTAGAAATATCAGTGGAAAGATGCTTCATAAAATAAAAGAGTATCCCATAAAAGTCCTGACTCATAACATTGGCTGAATCTCATGGTGCAAATATGCTTACCGTGGTTAATGTCATGTACCAATGTGATGTCACTGAACACAGATTTGGGAAGAGATGCGCTCTAGCGTAACATTCTACAGAATTTCACCACACAGATAGTACAGATGTAGATGAGATCAAGAGCATATTAATAGGAAAATAATTAGAAAATTACAAGTTTTGAACAGGTATTACTTTTGTAATCCAATTTATTTAAGTTTATATGACTAAATATTTTATAACGACTGCGTTTAACAACCAGCTTACTCAGTGACTGTATATTTAACAATTAGTTTTTGTGAATTGGTATGAGTTGACTCTGGTACACCATCGAATGAAATAAGATTGGTCATTATTGGATTTATAATTTTGAATTTAAGTGATAGGTATGGGCAGGGGCAGAGAATTCATTACACTTATTAGTGAAGAATTAATCTTACTAAAGAGAGTAAGTTTAATTAGTATTGATCGACTTAATATTACATAATACCAAGTAATACTTAATACTCTCAATTATACTGAGGCAAGTAACTTTACTAAAGAGAGTAAGACAGGTGACATCAGCCCTTGACTACTGGGAGATAATCTTCAGGCCTCTGAAATGTCCTGCCTGACAGGAGCATCTTTGTGTGCTGGGAACTTTGGCCACCAGACAGTCTAGTAATGAAGCTTATGATGGGAGCTCTGGGCCCCACAGCCTCAGGTCTGACCTCTGGGGGAAGTAAGATACTAGCCTGACCTCTGGGAGGGCTGAAAACTAAAGGTTTCCATGCAGGTGGTATGTGATGAGACCAATAAAAGCTCTATACGCCAAAGGCTTCGGTAAGCTTCCCTGGCTAACAATACTCCATGCATGTTGTCACATTAATGCCCGGAGAGTGACACGTCCTGACTTCTTGGAGAGCGGACAACGGGCACTGTGTTTGGTGCGTACGGACTCTGCCTTGTGCGCTCTTTCCTTGGCTGATTTTCATCTGTGTCCGCTCCCTGTAATAATCCATAACTGTGAGTGTAATGGCTTTCAGGGAGTTCTGTGAATTCTAGCAAATTATCAACACTGAAGTTGGTTTTTGGAAGCCCCCAAATTGCAGCTCGTGTCAGAAGGGAGGGCACTCTTGTGGAGACTGTACTCAGATGCTTATGGCCAATTTTCTACTTTTAAATATTTCTATAATACAAAATTTTTCTTTGAAAAAAACTGGATAACTACCCCCCTGACAAGAAGAATGGAAGAAATAATAGGCATCCCAAAGCTGTAATGTCAAAGTCTCTTCTTTTTCCCCATTTAAAATCTTCAGGAAAGGCTACAAAAATAAAACAAAAGGAAGGAAGGGAAGGAGGGAGGGAAGGAGGGGGGATGGAAACCATAAAAAACAAGAACCACTGCATAAATGCTACAGGAAGAGTTAACTTCCAGCACG